TAGTCAGGGGAAGGAGGCCCAATTTTGGGCCGAATAACGCAAAATTGGGTAGAGCTTAGCAAAGGGTGGTTTCTGGGACAAAAATGACCGCTGAACCCGAATCTGACCGGTGCGCACCTCTAACTAATGTTGCACCACTTCCAGAGCACGTGGAACTGCGTGGTTCTTCTTTTTTGAAGAATGGTACCCTTTTTATATATTTTAAAATAAAATTAGTCGTGTAGTTGTGTTGTATTCCAAAACTTTAATATTAAAGTAAAAAATCATTGCATAAATAAAAATCCAAGTTAACGCATATCGCAGACTACCTATGACGTCACTATGACGTCATTTATTCATAAACTGACGGGAAAATGAGGTGTGACAACAAAACATTTAACTTTATTCACAGGATACGCTCATTGGCGGGTTTAAAATGCATTGAGCATGCTCAGAAAATATCTCCCCGTTGCAAAAAGTAAAAATCGTCTGGATGGAGGTACCATTTTGGTCTACAGGGGGCGAAATCCGCGGAGTGTGCGTTTTTACCCCAAATAGTTTTTGTGCAATAACTTTTGATACAATGCTTGCATGTCGTCCATTTTACCATCGTTGTGATTCTCTCACCGAGACGCATCGAATAGTATGCAAATTGGCTTCGATTGGTTAAGATTATATTTACCGCAGTTCATGAGCTCAGGTCGATTATCACGCTAGTTAAGGTTATGACCTGACTGGAAATGGTCATGTAGTTTACCAATCGCTTTGGATTATCATGATAATCGCATGGAAAATGCTTTCATTGTTCTTATGTGGTTTGAGCAAAAGCTATAGCTGAAAAATTGCTGATGACGTTTTCAGGACGTCACATGACAAAATTCAAAGGTAGATATAGAAGTCGTTCATATATGTACTAGCGCCGCAAAGCATTCGTAAGGCATGCAGTATGCTTGCGAGATTTTAGAATTAGGTGTGTGCTTAACAGGCGTAGTTTTAGTTTATTACGTTGGCATACGTACCTAATAAAGTGGGCGTAAATTTCGTCACAGAGGGTTTCACATGTGTTATGTCCCAAGTTCTTATGTTGGGACTTGGGAGTTCAATGTCTCGTGGTTATTCATGTTCTTAGACGTCACATACCCGAGCATTGAAGAACACGGTAACAACTAACCGGATAGATTTTGATTCTGGTCATGGTTGTATTCATCTCTGCTGGTAAATATTACACACACACACGCACAGGCAAACACACATAATGTAGCACGGCTACTATCAGGAGGCGTTCGGCTGCCGGTCGCCGGCACGGTGACTCTGTGCACCCTGGGCGGCGGCCTTCGCCCAGGACGTCTGCCTCGTCCATCCATCGGCCGCGTCTCGTCGTAATGATAAAATATGTTCCGTCCCATTCTGTACAGTACACGGCATACGCACATAGATAGGTAGTATCCCGAGTGCTTGGCACCGCCGTTAAATTGTACGACGCCAACCATCTCTCTCATCTCATCTCATCTCATATATTTAACACATTCATTCAAAACAAACAATCGGTGTTACCTCGATTGGCGCAAAAGTGTCGGAGCACTTAACTCGGGGCGCCTCTCGAGTAGTTACAATCGCGCTGGGTGCCGCCCACAACCTCACAGCCGTTGCCCGCCACCGCGCAGACTGCTCCCAATAGAAGTAAAGGCGCCGGCGCCAGGGGCAGCGCTCTGTGACGGCCGGTGTCAAAGGACTGGGCCATCCGGTACGTGAAGTCGCCGGCCAGGTCGACGGAGCAGAGCGACTGGTCGTTCTCGACGCAGGACTCGGATAGATGCGCCTGTTCCGATGCGTCAGCCGGCTCTCCCTTCTTATTCTTCCGCGCACTGCCGGCCGTGACCGGCGCGGCAGACCGGGGCTGGTCCACAGGTGGCGTGGTCCGCCCCACTCGGTCGAGGAACTCCGTGACGTATTTAGCCGGCCCCGAGAGCACATCCTAGACGGGGTGGGGAGCGGCCCCAGAGCCGGGTTCGCGTTCTTGCGCGGCCGGGCACTCGCATAGCAGGTGCGCGACCGTGTCCTCTTCGCCGCAGTGTCCGCAGAGAGAGAGAGCTGGTGGCCAGGCCAATCCTGAAGAGTGTGGCCCGGACTAGGGGTGAGCAGCCGCTGCGGATCTGCGAGACAGTGGTCTGTCCCCATCGATCGAGGTCGTCGTGGCCAGGGGTGTTCTCCAGATGTGGGTGGTGCTTGGAGCAATCGAGGGTGAGCAGGCCGGTTCAGTGTCTGATGGCGATGCGCGCACAGGCCAGGTCAACTGGGATCCAACGCTGGTCGCCTGATGTCGCCGCGATGTTTGCTAGGCGGTCTGCTTCTTCATAACCCTCGACCCCCGCGTAGCCCGGGATCCACTGGAGACTGTTAGCTCTGCCCCCGGCCGCGGCAGAGTGCAGGAGAGCCCAGATTCCCTGTGTCAGGGCCGATTCCTGCGCTGCCGGGCCTCGGCTGAGCAGTTGGAAGCCGGACAGGGAGTCCCAGCAGAGCAGGACATACCGAATGGCAGCGAGGGATGGCTCCGGCAGTCCCAGGAAACATTTTAACGCCTCCGCCATCGCCGCCAGCTCCGCCTGCATGCTGCTGCATACGACTTCTGCCGGTACGGTACATTCGATCTTGCGCCCCTCACGGTGCAGTTCGAGGACGGCTCCTCCGCCGCCTTTCTTGGTACCGTCTAGGGCAGAGCCATCAGACCAGATTGTGAGGTCTGGATTTGGGTAAGCGGCCAGGGCCTCCAGGGTTGCAGCCTTCCGTAATTCTGGTGGGTCAGTCCTCTTGATAGGTTTCGGAAGCTTCAAGCCGAAGTGGACGTTGGTGTTGTACTGCTTCCACGGCGGTTCTCCCTGGTGCAGTGTTAGTGGGGCTATGGGCACTCCGCCCAGTCCAGCTTCCTCGCACACCCACTTCCCCACTCGTCGGAAACAGGGTCGATGCTGGAGGCCAGCAACGTCCTCATCTGGCGGCGCCGGCGCCGGCACTCGCACCTCCTGGGCTTCCTGTTTCTTTCGCATCCAATGGAGGTGGGCTCTGTACTGCAGTCTAGGTGGCGGTGTCTTATCAATGAGCTTCCGAGTGGGATCGTCCGGAGGGAGTCGCGTCAGGCATCCATACTCCCGGCCTGCCAGTTCCTTGGCCCGTACTGCCAGCTCCGGCTCTCCCTTCTCCAGCAGCCGCATGCTGGTACTATTCAATCTCTTTTGGACTCAGACGGGCGAGTCGGGAGAGCTCCTTATTCAGCTCGTCGTGCCCGTCATCATCAATCTGCAGCTTTGTCTAAAACGGTTCCATGTGTGCACCAAGAGCATCTGATAGTGTCGAGCCGCATGCATGTTGAAGGTGTCACCAAGCTTCAACTTTACAGGGCAATCACGAATCCATGCTCCTTTGATACAAATGAATTTTCACTTGCAATGTAATCCCAAATCAAATGCACTTCACACAGAACAGGTTTACGAGGAGGATTCGGTTGTCAGATCATTTTTGTAGGTACTGTTTTGTTCCTGCATCGTCTATCGTGTGGTCTCGCTTCGATCTTAGATTGTTTTCCTCAATTATCCAAGATACTTCACTATCTTGCAAAGGTGATTTTTGCCCTTTTTGATAAACCACAGCTGTTTATTTTCTTTGCCAGTCTTCATGACAAGCACAATTCTGGATCATTTTTTATCGCTTGCCAAACGCGCGTAACGACTAGGCTGAACCCACGCTGACTTCCCGTTATTCATAGGAATGGATATTTACTTGAAATAAATAAAAATCATACAATTTGAACTATAAATAAGACCAAAGGAACGACATTTAGTCAATTCAACGCCAACAGCATTTTGATTTAAATGCCGTCGCAGCGCCAGAACACGGTAAAAATGATATAAAAATATCCTGTTTCACGTGATTTATCGATCTGCTGTACTACTTCATCCAGTTTGACCAAATCTGTCAGGTGGTGACTTGAACTGTCACGTTCTCAACGTGACTCACATGTACCTCTGCAAAAACGATTTTAGCATAATCCGACTCAGAAATGTTCATAGATCATGTTTGATTATTTTCCCTTCTCTGATTTGCATACGACGGGAATTAAGTTAAATGCTTTAGGGACAAGACGACTTTTTCAACTCAATTAAAGGTTAATGACGTCACGGTGACGTCATCGGCTTCCCGAACATCGCAAAACTTCAGCTTTCACTTAGGCCATGTGTTTTTAGCACAGGGACAAAATCTCAACAATATCTCAAATATCAACGACGTTACACTGCAATTCATTAAAAAGGTACCATTCTCCAAAAAAGATGAACCACGCAGTTGCACGTGCTCTGGAAGTGGTGCAACATTAGTTAGAGGTGCGCACCGGTCAGATTCGGGTTCAGCGGTCATTTTTGTCCCAGAAACCACCCTTTGCTAAGCTCTACCCAATTTTGCGTTATTCGGCCCAAAATTGGGCCTCCTTCCCCTGACTATAAAGGTTTAACGTGAATATCTGAAATTTTAACGTTTTCAGCCTTTGTCTTGATGGCAAACTTTGTTCGAATTTCATCCATGCTTGCCTCAACACCCATCATATATTCATCACATTCATCTAATAATTTGTCTATTAAATGGTGTGGTCCCGTTTCGTTTATCGCAGCGTTGACCAGATCATTGCATTTTTCAACTTGCCGATATGCATCTTTGATATCTTCGAATTTATCCTTAATAGCAATAAATGGGCAATCGTTTTCGATCATGTCATGAAAACCAATAGTTTTTCTCGTAAATTTTCGTTTTGCGTTGGTTCGATCTTGTTTAGTCGTTCGTATTTCTTTCGTCATAGCCAACGGGAATCTCGAAGCCTGATCTTCTTGCTTGCTCATGATGAATAATTGCTAATTTACTTTTTTCACATCAATGAAAACAAGGAAAAGGAAAGAAAAGCTTAATGTTCAAGTTTGTTACGTTATGGCTTGAAGATGAAATGTATTGTTAGCCAAATTCAAGTTGTAAACAAGGTATTTGTAACTGCAATGCGATGTAATTTTATTCAAAAGAAAACAAACCAAGCTACATATACGTCAAGTTCAAGAGTAGAAAAAATTTCATCCTGAAACAAACAGGAGGTTGATGGTAAGGAAACGGCGATATAAACACGTATACTGAAAATATACAAATATTTAAACAAACAAAAAACACTTAATTTGATACTCACTTCATTGCAGCCAAGGTTCTAAATTTAAATATTCAAATCGATATCGGAACGGAAAACACCGTGAACTAAATAAACCTCAACCAAACTCGCGAGAACATATTCAGAGATCTTCGGCCAGAGATATTCGACTTCCAAATTCGGCCAGCGCGTCGAGATTTATCGCTGATCGTGACTTCGCGATACACACATCCATCTGCCTCCTTCGCAACTGCCTATGGCTTCCCAAACTGCAGTATCTTCTGCGAGCCGCCCCTCTCTATCGGCAAGCCTTGCTCCTTGAGAATCTGGACGCAGTCCTGCAATCAGCGCCGATCAGTATCAGCAACAGGGGGATGTCGTCCCGGTTCTCCCCATGTATTATTCGCCAATCAGCTTAACACTACCAGTGACGTCACTGGTGGATCGCCAATCGGGGCCGTCCGGCCGGCCGGGCCCGTAGAAGGCCAAACGCAGACGTTTTCAGAAAAGCGTAAGCCGTAATAGATACAGTCCTGGATGGAGTTTTGCTGTGATTCGGCTCTCCAAGAGTGCGTCAGGGTACCAGGACCCGGACAAAGGTCATAGTGAACCGGCATCTGATAAAACCCGCTCACGGCTTAGCAGCCGACTTCGACCCTTCGTCCTCGTAAAGCACAAAAGCTTGCCGGTCATCAATCCACCTGCATCTCATCATCTGCTTACTGCCTATATCGACCAGTTACTGCAGCCGTTTTTGGAGCGGCTCACGGCCGATAACACGCCGGACGTGCGCTAGCCGCCGGTGCTAAGCGCTATAACCATTGAGTGCGCGTGGCCGACTGCCGCCCCGATGGCGCTGGCCCCCGGCACCGACACCGGCGCGGCGCCGCGACCCATGGGGGGGGGGGGGCTGCTAATTAGTTGAGCCGGAATTGGGATAGAAGCCGGTATGGGATTGGGATAGCAACTCAGCGAGACTAAGGGATTGTGTTGTGCCTTCAGTAGGCCCCCAAAATCACCGGTGCAGTGCCCTCAGGGCCGCCGGGTATGAAGCCTTTGGAGGCACTGGTGTGGGCACTCACAGGTAGGTACCGGTGTGAGGCCCTCAGAGGCATTGGTGCGGGGCCCCCGAGGTGCCGCTGTAGGCCCTCTGAGGTGCTAGTTTGTGGACCTCAGAGGCGCCGGTGGGCGGTGGCGGTGAGGGTCCTCACAGTTGCCGTTGTAGGCCCTCAGAGACACTGCAGTGTGGGGTCATCATCACAGTCGGGTGTGGGACCCTTAGAGCTGCTGGCTCGAACCCTTTATAAGCCGACAGGGGCTCTCAGAGACCGACAAGGGGCCCTCAAGAGGTCTGCGGTGTCTTCAGGAGCCCTGTGGAGTCCTCAGAGACCAGCAAGGTACTCTCAGACGCCGGTGGGGGCCCTCAGAGTCGTCGGTGTGGGGCCCCCAAAAGTCACCGTTGAGTGGCCACTGGCCGTCCGATGCGAAGGTCCCGTCTGGGGCCGTCAGAGGCTCCGGCGTTCAGCCCTCAGAGCCGCCGATAAATATATGGCCAAGAAGCACTGGTCTGGGCCTTTGGGACTTCATTCAGGGGCGCCGGTTGAACTCATAGGTGGCAGTGTGGGGCCCTCAGCTGGGCACCGGTTTGGGGCTTTCACAGCCGCCGGTGAGGGCCCTCGCAGGCGCCGTTGTGGGGGCCTTCAACCATTTGTTTAGGGGGTCATCACAGGCGTGTGTGGAACCCTTAGAGCTGCTGGTCCCTGATAGGCCGGTAAGGGCCCCAGGGGTCGCCAATGGGCTCTGAGAGGCCGGCAAGGGGCCCTCAAATGCCGACTAAGGGACAATAAAAACCGGTGTGTGACTCTTATGGAGAGAAGTGTGGCTATTCGGAGCACATAAGGTGTTCTTTCGAGCCCTGTGGGGCCCTTCTGAGTCGAATATGCCAGCGTGGACCCTCAGCCGCCAATTGGCGTCGCACGTGCCCCCTGCTCCCCCCCCCTCCGGGTGCAGATAGAGAATGCAATCGGCGGTGCGGGACACAACAATTGCAAACGTTACTTCTTCCGTCGCCAGGATCGCCCATCCGACCCATATCCCAAGATTGTCAACCCTGGGGCTCGGGTCGGCAATGTATCGGCAAGGATATCAGCTTTAGGTGGGTAAAAAGGTTATTAAAAGTCATTAGTTGTCGTTACGTTCTGTAATAACAACGATAAAGTGCCAAATGTACCCGACATACGGCTTGGAGCCGGGCGCCGCGCGGTCTCCACCAGTGACGTCACGCTAATGCCTAGCGACCGGTCCATTGGAAATTGCGGGATGATTCTACCTCTCTTATACGGCCTTGATCAGCAACGTCAGGCTGACAGGAACCAGCTGGCAGCAGGCCGTTCTCCCAACCAGGTACGGCGGTCTCGGGCTCCGGCGGCTGGTGGACGTCGCTCTACCGAGCTACGTTGCTTCGCTCCACTTGTGCCTTCAGGTCATATCTTCCTGTCTGCCTTCTGCAATGACCTCAAGCGCCACAGCTGAGCGCGAAAAAGCTGTTACCGACTGGGAAGACGCAGCCGAGGGCTAACGTGCTTCCGAAGGAGAAGAAGCGCGAAAACAAAAGACCTGGGATACAGTGCTTGCCAAGAAACAACAAGAGTCGCTGCTTTCACAATCCAACCAGTTTGTTCGCGCCAGGTTCCTGAGTGCCTGTGCCCCAGAAAGCGGGGCATGGCTGCATGCTTTACCTGCAGCAACCATCGGCACGCTTTTGGATCCGGAAACCCTGCGAGTCGCTATCGCCCTTCGTCTGGGAGCCGAGGTGTGCCGCCCACATCGCTGTAGGTGCGGTTCAATGGCTGACAGCAACGGCTATCACGCACTCACCTGTAAGTTCAGCGCTGGGAGACATCCAACATTCCGCGCTGAACGACATTATCAGGCGGGCATTGTTGTCGGCAAGAATCCCCTCTCTCTTGGAGCCAACAGGTGTAGACCGCGGAGACAGCAAACGCCCAGACGGCATAACAGTCTTTCCATTCACCGGGGGCATGTGTCTAGCTTGGGACGCTACTTGCGTGAACACGTTTGCTGAGAGCCACGTTCTATCAGCAGCTGTTTCCCCCGGATCAGCGGCCCGTGAAGCTGAGGACAGAAAGCGCAAGAAATACAGTGGCCTTGCACAGCGCTTCCACTTCGAACCGCTTGCCTTTGAAACAACAGGAGTGTGTGGACCCTTCACAAAGATATTCATTCGAGAGCTCGGGGCAATGATGGCCTCCATATCAGGTGATCATCGAGAGACAGCTTGGCTGTGGCAGTGGCTGGCCCTTGCCATCGTTAGGGGCAATGCTGCTAGCGTCTTGCAGACAACGGACTTTTCCGATTCCTCGCCGAAGACACCAATAGACATGGCAGGCAAAGAAGCGGAGAAGAACAAGTCTAGAGCAGCTATCGGAGTCGTAACGGCGCAGAATGGCGCTCCGCTCGTGCCTGGGCCTGCGGTTCGATCTCTGTCACGGTGGCGCTCTGTACATCGGCCGGCGCGCGAGAGCGATACATCTTCGTCTCGGCAGATGAGCATCGCGTTTCGTCGAGGTGAAGAGGAGTCCAGCGAAGCCGGTAGCTCTTCTTTCAAGATCACCCAGCATGTGTGTCCGCCACTGCTGCCTGGCAAGTTCGATGAGGGCAGTCAGGTGCTGCCGCAGGGCAGGAAGCCGCAGACTGACAGCGCTGGCGAGTGTGGGCAGGCGCTACAGCCGTCTGACAGAAAGCCGCCAACCGACGGCCCTGGTGAGAGCAGCCAGACGCCACAGTCCCCCTGCAGGAGGACGCAGACGGAAAGCATCGGCTCGCAGCTGATCACGGCTACCCGGTGGCTTGAGTCGGACACGAGCGCCAGCGACCCGCTCTGCATTGGTCTGCCGAACTACGGCAACTCGTGCTATCAAAACGCCACGCTTCAATCTCTGCTGGGCCTGACTCCGTTCCTGAGCGACATGCTGTCACTGATTTCCGACCTGAGCCCAGGGGAGAACAGCCTCTGCCGCACACTGCATGGTGTCGCGGAGTTGATGGTGCTCCGTCAGAAGGGGCTCAGCAGATCAGTCTCCAGCCATCTTAACGACCTTCGCGACGTGTTCGCCGATATCGATCCGGCGTTCCGAGGCATCGAGATGCAGGACGCCAACGAGTTCTTGCTGCGCCTGCTAGAAATTGACGCGCGGCGGCCGACCGATAACCTTGTGCGAGACAACTTTCAGTATCAGACCGTCGAGAGCTACATGTGCACCAAGTGCCATGAAACGGTGCTGAAACAGCAAGAGAACATATGCTGGTTTGTCAGCGTGCCGCGCCGCCAGGGCACAGAGACGCCAACGCTGCAGGACGCGCTGCGGCTGTGCACTGACACCTCTTCGTTTTGCACGTGGCACGTGCATAAGGGGTCACCCACATGCATCGGGAATAGTCCAATACTTGGTAGAAGGAATGAAGCTACCCTACAAAAATTACCGCATGTAAATCGGTCAAGTGGTTGCTGAGATATAAGCCTCGCAAAAGCGTGACCACGGCCGGCCGGCCGGCCGGCCGCTCATACTCAGAAATTTCCGTTAATCTAAGGAAAGACTACGCTCGCTTCGCTCGCTCCGTAATAATCTAAACGGCCTTGCAAGATGTGAAGATCACTTCTAAAATTGCCTGTAGAAATATTGAAGGCAAAAGTTCAACTTTTTCACAAGACGGATGTATATAAACCTATTCAACGTGTGACAACTCAGCCGGTATTTCGTCGCCTACAGCCCAGCTTTCCCTAGTGACCGATAGAGGCGCTGCTATCGATGTCCACCCGTGCCGCCTAACGTGTTAGCTACATAAATCAAGCTAAGCGTGACGGTGAATTCTTTGTAACCCAGCGTAGGGGAGTATACTCACGTTGCTACCCAAGAAGGGTAACCAGAAATTGATAAGAAACAAACGTGCGATATGTTTACTTGATGTTTACTTACTTGGGCTCTGTAAGAAAACAGTACATAGGATCGAGCTTGCGGACGATAGCAGATGTCATATTTTATTGTGGTGCGGACAGGGTA